ACTCATCTGATGCCAAACCCATGGGAGTGGCATATATGAATTCCTTTCCAAGTGACTCCATCTCTCTGATGTGACTCTTCTAAGGTATGTATGGATCATTTGTTTCTGTTGGCTTCTGCCACCCACCATATTATACTCCAAATTCTAGACTTCACTTTTTCAGCCACATCTTCCTTCCACCTGCTCCAACCATTTGTCTCTCCTTGTCTACTCCATAAGTATCTCTCTGGCTCCTGCAGTTTGCTAATCTCCTGTGCACTGGTCATGTATCTTTTGGTCTCTCTGGCTCCTTGAGCCTCCTATACATTCCTAGGATGCCTATCATCTGGGAATCTCTGTGTTTCTCTGGCCTGCTATGTCCATGTGGGGGCATCTCTTTACTAAAGACACTTAGCCCCCTCTATTCCCAAAAGTCTCTCCCAGTCCATCTCTTCAGCAGTTTTCTCCTCTACCTACTGTCTTTCTCTATTGGTACGTGTCACCATGGAGCTGCCTGCTTTGTCTGCTATTACTACAAAAACCACACTGCTGTGTAAGGTGCTCCTCTCTCTTTACTGGATTCCTATCATGTAGAAAAGGACACCTTTTTTTTCTGTGATTTGGGACATGTCTCTGAAAACTCTCTCATTCTGCTTGGAGACACCCTGGATTGAAATTCTTGTCTCCACTACACTGAACCCCCTGTTTGGTCTCAGCTCCTTCCTTGATCTTTCATATCTCCCATCTCCCCCTAGGAGTCACAGTCCCACAGCTTCCCATAGCGTCTCTATCCCCTCCTGGGCCTGCAACTTTTTCCTTGCCTCTTAGCCTTCAGAAGTACCTGCTCCATTTTTCCTTTTGTCTTCCTCAGCCTTTAGCTTTCTTACACTCTCTCGGGCTTTAAATTACCCTTTCTCTCTTCCTTCTTGGACTCAGAGATTTTTATTCAAGATTCACTGTCTTACTGCAAACAGCTTGGCCTTACTATAGATCAATCAATGGCCAAACACTGGCACATAGCTTTTCAAATTCTCTCAAATGGTAACATTTTCCAGTACACAAACAAATGATGCAAAAATCTTATATCTAAACTTGTTCTACTCTATACTTCTGGAGACTCTCATCTCTAAGGGGTTTTTCTACTGCCTACTGTCAAAATTTTTCTATCTCTATGATTTCTTTGCTCTCTACTCTCAAAAGAAATCTTTTAAGACTATGTTGTAAACTATGTCAGAGTTTGTAAGTTCATATGGTATGGTTAAAAATTTGTAACAAAATTTAGCTAAAAAGTTATAACAAGGGCTGGAGAGATGGCTCAGAGTTTAAGAACACTCACTGTTCTTCCAAAGGTCCTGAGTTCAGTTCCCAGCAACCAGATGGTGGCTTACAACCATCTATAGTGAGATCTGGTGTGCAAGCAAACTGTCATATAAATAATAAATAAATCTTTTTTTTAAAGTTATAACAAAAGGCTCATAATGAAAAATCTGTACATTGGTATCTTAATTTGCTACAATTTACTCTGTTCAACACTTATTTAAAAATATATCTACTAGAAAATAGATCTAAAGCAACAGTTGTAAAACTACTTAGAGGACTAAGTCATATGTTTATCATTGTATCTCCTTTCAGATTAAGGCAACAGCAGGTCTCCAAAATATCTTGGATTAGGATCAATTTTTGTATGATGATAACTTCCTAAGGTTATAACAGCAAGGTTATAAAGAAAGTGACTTAGAGATATATACTTAACTACTTATGTCTTTTACCACTATGTTCAATACCAGACTTCTAGATAATAAAGTACATTTAATAAACAAGGTTTATTTATTTTTTATTAAGACTCCAATTTTTTTATTCATCTCCAGAAACAGAAAATGCCAAGAAGGGGAGTTGACTAACAACAACAAAAATTCTGCCAGGAACAAGTGGGCAGTAATCATGTTCGCTTGTACTTTTATTCTTGTTCATTTTTAAATTTTTCATTAATCTGGACATGGTCTCACTATGTAGTTCATGCTGGCCGCCAACTCTTGATCTTCCTACCTCAGCCTCTCAAATGGCAAGAGATACCAGGATACACCAGGACACTGGTCTTATACTACTTTTAAATATATAGAAAAAGATTTCATGTAGCCATTATTATAAGAACTTACAGAGTTTCTCCTGTGTCAGAATGTTATCAGAGGTATCTAGGCTTCTAACTAAAACCAATTAGAAAAATACCCATGATTAAAATTAAGTTCTTACCTTAAGTTTAACTGTCAAGTTTTCATTTTCCTGATCAAAGACTATGACCTATCAAATGCCTTCAGGGAAATTGAAAAGGACTTCTAGAGTCTTGTACTCAAATATAATTAAGAAGGAAAGAAAATTTCTCCATAAAGAGGGCCTTTTTGGGGGTGGGGACGATGGGATGGAGGAGGGGCTATCTGCACAGTATCTCCCTTGGCCATAAAACCTTTTTCAAACTCTAGTAACTGATAAACAAGGTTTATTAACAGTATCTGACTTGAAGATGTATGCATAACCTCTTCTTTTTTACTAATGTTGTTAATCTTTAGCTATTTGGATAAACTGAGTCATACAAAAACTGATATTTTATAATGGTACACTGTAAAAAAGATCAGGAAAGTTCTCATTCTCTCTATGGACTGTGTATTTGTTTAAAGTTTATTGCATTTTTGGTTTAAAGTTTTTTTTGATGCTTAATGATCTTCAATTAAATCTTCAACTCAGTTTTTTAAGGCTCAAACTTAACAGGGATAAAGCTATATAAAATTCTAATCTTATAAAAACTGCTGGCTTGTTGCTGACTGCTAAAGTTCATTAACACATGTAAGTTAATGTTCAGAACTATGCTCTTAGTCATGCTAAGTACAAATATGATTAATTTACAAGAACAAGCTTTATTTAGCCCCCTGTATGTCTTTTCAAGGGTAAGCTTAAAGTAAGTAACTAAAACAAGTAAAGTTTGTTTAAAATCAAGTGTAGTAAATAGATAATGGTCCTCAAACTCTTTAAAGATCTGCTGAATATAGTATTTAAAGTCTCTAATGCAAAAAGCTTCTTGTAATAAACAGAAATGTCAGTTTCTAAAGGCAACCTTATGGTCTCCAAAAATGATGTGGATGACCACGTGGAGCTATGTCTCTGTTAATGTTTTGGGAACTCATGCTGAGAGATCCATCTTGCCGTATTGTCTATTATTTGCTGACCTACTTTGTTAAGCAAGCTTGCATGTTACCTTAGGTTCCTTTGGTTCTGTTTTTCTGCCAGAGACACACTTCATGTTTCATAACTGCCACTGCCACCAAGAAAAGAAGGAAGGAAGGAAGGAAGGAAGGAAGGAAGGAAGGAAGGAAGGAAGGAAGGAAGGAAAAAAAATTCCTTGACATGAACATCTGCTTCTGGATCAGTTTTCTGCTTCCAAGAGAATAGCCCAAGACAAAAGAAAACTACTTTCCTGAAGCAACGCATTAGAAAAACTACTTGTATATGCTCTCTTAATCTTAAGTCTTAAAAGTATTCTCTTTCCCGCTTGTCTCATCCACTTTTGTTAATAGCTTAGATAGCTTCTATCCCCTATGATGGTCTGAAGAAGGGGCTGACATCTGCAAAATTTAAGATCATAAAATAGACAAATTTAAAGTACCATTGAGAAAAAAAAATTATCAGTAAATGTGTCTTTTCCCTCAGCTATTTAGTTCTTTAAAAGAGAAAAAGGTATTACTTCATGTCTACACTACAAACTTTATCTTTTTTATTTTTTTTGTATTACTAAGCCTTTCTCACGTTTTAAAGAAATAGAGATATAAACAGTCTGCCATTTTTTTCAAATAGGTACACCATTTTAAGGGCCATTTTCACTAAGCTGACTTTGTTTAGACTTAAGGACTGCCTCCCAGGGGCAAGGGGGAAGGATTCACATCTGGTACAATGAATTTACAACCAATGTTGCAGAGGAAGTCCTATTATGGAAAATACTGCTGTTGTGTTCATGGCTACAGATTATTGATGATGTTAACTTTTTCATGAAAGCTTCTTTTTCCAGTGAGAGGTGGTTACTATAGGCTTCTAACTGGTCACAATGCTGAGTGATGTGGCTGTTGCTGAGGCAGGGTTAAGCTCAGGGTTTAGCCATAAGTGGGAGAAAATCATCATGTACCTGGATCACCCCTTTCCAAAACCTAGGGAACATCACAGAAGAGGGAGTAGAAAGAATGTAGAAATCAGAGGCACAAGCAAATTGCGGTGGGACTCTGTTGCATCTTAAAATCTAAGCATCTGTGATTACCTGTGTGAGAAAGATTGGGCCCAATAACATTCCCTCATAGTATTCACAGGGCAGCTCATGAAAGGGTCACTGGCACTTCAGAAGTGGTACATGAGGCATTTTAGACTAGTTGCAAGAGGCCCCACTTCACTCCAAGAATATATTAGCAGTTAATGGTTGTTATGGGGCGCAAACTCTTCTTTGGTGGAGCAGCTATGTCATAAGTACCCATCCTGGAATTAATCCTGATTAAACTCATTGTTTCACCAAACAAGACTTGAGTAAAATCATTTTTTTATTTGTTTTGATGCTCTGTATGGGGTGCACAGACATTTGTTCACATGTCCCCTAGGAAGATTTAATCCAATAACCTCCTCATTCTTGCTATTCTATTCACACCAGTAAGAATGAGCTATGATTCTGCGTTGCGGCATTTGCACTACTGGCACTCTGTGAAGAATAGTCTTTTCCCAGAACACCTTTCTTTTCTTTTTTCTTTTTCTTTCTTTCTTTCTTTCTTTCTTTCTTTCTTTCTTTCTTTCTTTCTTTCTTTCTTTTTTTTTTTTTTTTTTGCCTGCATTCTGTTATTAAACAATGAGAACTGTCAACACTCCTTTATTCAGCTGAATGTCCTGCTGGGCCTCTGAGATTGTTCTCACCTCTGAGATTGCATAGAAATCCAATCTCCTCTATACTTCCAAGCTCTTTAACTTCATCAGATCTTCGGCATACACCTCTTTCTTACCTTAAAACAATACTCATGGCAGCAAATGCCAAGATGTTCAAGGGTAATCTTTGGACAGTCTTGGATCTCATGGCTGCAGTAAGTACAGACCCCTTCAATTGGTCTAGGAGATAGAAACAAGAACCAGGTAGTCAGGCTGGTACCCATGCTTCTGATATGATGCAGCAGATCTTATGGTTTGGTGCAGGCAGACCTAGATTTGCCACTATTATCAGATTCCTACCATATTCTGTGTTGCAGAACTGGGAGCATCACTTATGCCAAACTGGTTCTCAAACATGGCACTGTTCTTCAAAACCAGTCTTGACAACTCTTTTCTGCATGTGTGGAACCATGGATTTCACCCCTTTCACTGGTTACTATCAAGGCCACCCTATCTTTAGTCTGGTTGTATAGCTTCCTCAGAACTCATGCTAAAGTCCTAGAAAATACTTACTTCTGGGTCAGTTGTTTCTTCTCTTCCAAGATTTCTTTTATTTTTGAGAATTATCTCTGCTTTTTCCCTCTTTTGTATTCTTCCCCTAAAAGGAACTGCTGAAACAGGCTCTTTTCTCCGATTCTACATGCTAAAATTAGGATCTTCTAGAGATGTGGACTGATTCCAATAAAAGCCAGGGTGTCACTAGCAATCAGGACCCAGAATTGCCATAGGCACTAATGTTTTAGCCCTGTGTAGTGGTTTGAATGAAAATAGGCCCATAGGCCAATAGGGAGCAGCATTACTAAGAGGTGTGCCCTTTTTAAGGTGGATGTGTCCTTGTTGGAGGAAGTGTGCCACTGAGGATGGGCTTTGAGATTTCAGATACTCAAGTCAGGCCCAGTGTCTTCCTCTTTCTGTAGCCTGCAGATCCAGATGTAGAACCCTCATCTACATCTCCAGCATCATGTCTGCCTGCTTGTCACCATTCTTCCCACCATGATAATAGACTAAACCTCTGAATTATAAACCAGCCCTAAGTAAATGTTTTCCTTTATAAAAGTTACCATGGTCATGGTATCTCTTCACAGCAATAGAAACCCTAACTAAGACACCCTGCCATCCTGCTGGTAGACTAGAGTTCCTTCTCTGGACATAAGAATTGCTTGAGAATCCTCTCTTCAGTGTATCTCTGGTCTTCCCTTGTTTTTTTTTTTTTTTTTTTTTTGTGTGTGTGTGTGTCTACACTTATGCACAAGTGACTGCTGTTGTCCCTGGAGAGAATCTCATTCCTGTAACCAAGTCTAGTGATTAATCAGTAATGATTCTGGATCTAATATTGGAACAATGAAGAACAAGAGCTCCAGGGTATTTGATCTGTTATGCTACTGGAAACTGATGTATTTCACTTGCTACTACATAACTGAAACTTCTCAGGCATCTCACCAATCTACCTTCTATGGTTTATACATAGCTTGAGTGTGTCCCTTAAGGATTCACATGGTAGAAGCTTTGTCTTCAGTGTTGAAATATTATAAGTGTAAGATTTTTAAGGGTTGGGGCCTAGCAGGAGGTAAATAGGTCATTGTAGATGGTTTCTTGGAAGAGAATAATCTAGTTCTTATAGTATTAGATTAGTTCCTGTGAGGATATACTGTAACAAAAGGAGACTGACATTCTCCTTTTCCAAATATGCCAACTTTATATGACTTTTAATCTATGTGCTATCATCTGCTATAAAATCCCTAACCATTGACAAATAAATATTAGGTCCATGCTCTTGAAATTTAGAGACTGTGAACTAAATAAACCTCTTATCTTTATGAAGTGTTCACTCTTGGGATTTAGTTTGTATGTTTATTTTTTAAGACAGGGTCTCACTGTGTAGCCCTACATGGCCTGAAACTTGCAAGGTAGACGGAGCGGGACTCAGATTCACAGAGATCTTCCTGTCTTTGCCTCTTGAGTCCTAGGAGTAATGGCATGTGCACCATGTCCAAACTCTGGGTGTTTTTTTTTTTTAAGTATCATATAATAGACTATGAAATCATCTAATAACATGCCTTACAAAATGTTCTGTGATTGTCCAGTATTCAATAATGTGGATGTTTCTTCAGGCATGATGGAGGGGGTAGCTGTAGCCCTGTCTACTTATAAGTCCCTGTACTTGTTTTTGTGTGGGGAAAAGGAGCACACTGATAAGATTTTCTTCATCTTAACTTTCTTTGCTTCTGAGTGAAAACAACACTAAGTTAGATCTCATAATAAATGAGAAGACATACAGCAGAGGAGAAATATCCATAACCTGTCAGTAGTCAAGCCCAAGGATTACTTTCTGGCCCTGCAAGTAACTCCCTGTGACTTATTCCTCCTCCTTTTTTTTTTTTTCTCCCTCAGTGTAATCTGGGTAGATTCAATGTTTAATGGAGATTCTTTTCTTTTCCTATTTAACAATAGCCCTTCTTTGTCCTTAAGACCACATTATGGTTGTTTTTAGGTCTGCTAAATGAGGTGTCCTGTGCTCCTTTACTAAGTTCCACAGCTCCAGGCTGCTATGCATGCTTAGTTCTGTCTTCTTGGTGATTAAAAAAAAAAAAAAAAGCATTTTTCCTTCATACCAATGTTTTGTGTAGTTTTTTCTTTTATCATGTAGTTGGATGTACAAGTTAGTCAAGTGAATCTTCAGGTTCCATTCTGAAGAGTCTATCCTTATACTTCTTTTAGACTGAAATTTCCTTTCTCAGATACCTTTTAGATCTATACTTCATCTCAGTATATAGGCTTCAGTAGCTGCAAATGTGACATTCTGATTACAGTAGTACTACTTTATGCAGTGTCCCACCGTGTGACAGATATGCAAACAAATTAAAAGCTTCAAAGCAGCAGAGAAAGACCCATGTAGAGATATATCTTCTTTAGTGCTCTCTCACCTACATAACTGAAGACTTGTTAAGAAATCAGACATACCTCTCAGTGGGTTCAATGCCTTCATGTGGGGGTTTCTTCTCTAGGTCCAGTGAGTCCTCAAAGCTGCTGGCACTAAAGGAAGTATAATGGAGAAGGCAGCACATGAGCCACATCATTATGATAGTCATACATTGAGGACGCTTGTCTCATTAGCCTTGTGGTCACAATTAGAGACATGACTACACTGACAGTCATCACCACTGTGATCATACATGGCCCTTGGTACAATAGGGGCTTATACTAAGGAGGGACAATTTTCTTGGTGAGGAGTTCTTTTATGGTTAATGAAGAAGACACCCTGTGGTAAAGGTGGTGGATAACAGTCTTGAGACATATATATATATATATATATATATATATATATATATATATATATATA